TCTTTTTAGGGGTCTTATTTAGATCAGTATCTACTTATGTATGTAAATTAGCATTTTACATTGACTGCGGATACAAAAATCACCCTGACGTAAACAGAAACATAAACCAATTATATAAAAACTTGCATTATCATCCCAATAAACTTGTGTAAGTAAAAAACATTTTTAAATATTTGACATGCACTTTCATTTAAACTGGCGTCTTTTGTCCGTTGTTCATTGTCATTATTATAACAAGAAATTATTTGGGTTTTCCCGTGCTTTATATATACAGATACATACATACATATGTACATATAACAATCAAAGGCATTCACGCAATAAGACAGTCGTAGATTATTTTGCTTTGTAAGGTCTATGGTTAGTAAGTAGCAAAAGAAATATGCATGTCTTAAAGCAGTCACAATATTCAACTATGCTCGTGTTTATGCAATAGGGGTATTCTTCAAATCTTGCAAAGCCATTGCACATAGCACGGATTGCATGGATTGCATTAAAAAAAAAACTGTGCAACATTTCCTTTCGCTGCAAAATATGCAACGCCGAAACCCATGTATATATTTTGCAAAATAGCATAGCAAGATAAATGCGACCCTGTGCTAGTTGTTTTGTTGTTGGAATTGCTACATATTTCTCTCATTCCTCTTATCTCGCTCACTTCATATTTTTTTTTGCTGTTGCTACCACTTTGCAATGGCGTACTCTCGGACTCCTTGAAATTTGGAATAGTATTTTTGCATTGCCTGCGATCCGTGCATCGTGCAAGACTTCGAGAATACCCCTAATGTATAGAGGTATTTCAAAAGTTTTGAACAACAGTGCGTATGAGTGATATATTTGACGTTGCGCGGCGGTTAAGCAGGTATGTAAGCTGACATATGAATGATATTTATTGCATTTGGCAATGTTGCTGTACAGTATTTTGGCATCCGCATTTCAGTTTGGACTAAAATCAATTCCATTTCATAACAAAAAGTCTCTGTGGGTCTGATTCTAAGCCAGCTTATGAATTTATATAAACTAAAATTAAGGGAGTTGAGGTGAGTTAAGAAGGTGACTTGAACATAACATAACATTATTTATTTATGAAAATATAGTTCATTCTCTAATTTAAACCAGTAAGTAGTTTCACACTTTATATAAAGTTCACAAAAATTCAAAATAAGTTTTATCCAAATTTTCAACTTTTTGTTCACAATTTCTATGAAATAAAACGCAAACAAAATTTCAAAACATGTAGCAAATTAGCAAACAAAATTTCAAAAAATCAACGCCAGTTTTTCTAAATTGCACTTGTTATATAAAAAAATAAATAAGAACAACCGCAAAAGCAGTCACTAAAAAAAAATTCTCAAAATAGATGGTTCAAACTTGCATTTCAATCGAATAGGCTAAAAAACTGCATACTCGAAAATTCTCTAGAAATTCTGAATAAAAAGTTTAAAATTTGGATGACATTTTTATGAATTTTCGTTAATTTTATATTAACTGTGAGCTTTGATTTGTATGGTTTATATTATAGAATGAACTATATATTCGTAAATAAATAAGGCAAACATTTTTTCATGAAAATAATTATGAATATTATATTAGAGAAATGTGTACACTTTCATTTGGATTAGTGTCAATTTTGAGTTGATTTTTCGCTCTGTTTTAAACTAGTTTGAAACTGTCTCCACTTCTGAAGACAGTTGAGAATCTTCGGTGAAAATATCCAGCTACTTTGGCAGAGTTTAAATACAACAGCTCATACAACCTATTAGGATAGGCGTTTACAACATCATAACTTGGGATTTGCGTTATCACAACAGTTCTATTTAGTTGACGTCTTGGCGCTGTATTCTACCCCAACGTGATATTCTAACCTTTTCGTGGCATATATTAAACGACAATCATATCACTTTTATAAACTAGTCTTTTTGTCATATTGAAGAATTTCCGCAACTCACATGTTTAGTTTCGCTTACGCTGCGTGCTATAGACTAATTTCTATACCTTTACTGCGCAAGTTGCTGCGTCGCCGATGGAACTCGAAAACTTTGCTGACACGCCAAGCCGTGCGCAAAGCGGCAAAGCAGTCAGGAAGGAAGGCAAAGGTGTGTTCAGGAATAGGATGAGTATGCGAGCGTGTGCAAAACGAGTCACGTTCCCCAAACAAATCTCTGACATGCAGCGGAGTCGCGACAACGTCAGCACAAGCCCATCGCATGCGACAGCGGTGCCATATACAAGTATGTATGTATGTATATACAAGTACAACATATAAACTAAATTTTTGTCAACAAGAAATTTGCGTACAACTAGCTAAGGTAAACGTGAAATTTTTATAAGGCACATCAAAGTAGAGCAAAATGCCAGCGAATGCAAAAGTTGTACCTAGTTGGATATTGCAATATAGGATGCGTGCAAATTGAAGGTAAACACGCAAACATGTGGGTGCCCAAAATGGGGAAAACGGGATGTATGTGGTCGTTGGTCGTCGCCGTTGATTCGTATTTATGTAAATTGTTTGAAGCTGGTGATGTACCTACCATATATACTTAATACATACAGCCGCGGTCAAAAGTGGATGAATGATGTTTCGATTTCAATATTTACGAACGTTTTCAAGCTAAAAGTTTTTGATATGTTCTTATAAAAATATGGTTCACGCTTTAACAAAAACTATTTAAATGAAATTTTCAAACTTTATCCGCAACTACACAAATTTGTATCTAAATTTCGAGCTTTTTAACCAGAATTTTTAGAAATTTTGTGGGTATGCAGTTAACAAGTTTATAAAATTCTAGTGAAATAAGTGCAAGTCTTGAGCGGCTAAAATATCGCATTTATAATAATTATTTTTTGCTGACGGTTTTTACGGGTTTTTCATATAAATATTGAAATTCAGGAAAACTGGCGCTGACTTTTTTAATTTTTTTTTCCAACGGTCTTGAGCATATGCTTTCCATAAGAAATTTATGTGTATATGGAAAAAAGTGCAAAACGCTGGACATAAATTTTTAGTCGTTCAAAATTTGGACTAAAATTTATGGCCATTTAAAAACTCGACGTAAGTTTTTGCTCTTTGAAAAAGTGGACATACATTTTTTCCCCATTTAAAAAACAGACATAAATTTTTTTGTCGTTTGAAAATTGTTCTTTAATTGATTGGCACTGAAAAACTGGATATAAAGTCGTATACCTTTGCAGATTTTTAGTCACTTTAAAAGCTCCACATAACGCTTGGACAAAGATTTATTAGATTAGAGCTGGACATAAATTTATGGTCATTTAGTAACTGAAAATAAATTTTTGGTAATTTTAAACCGGAAATAAAATTTTAGTAATTAAGAAACTGGCAAAAGATATTATTCCATGGAAAACGTTTGTAAAAAATCGTTCGTATTTGAAAATTTCTGGTATGAATGTTCAAAACGGGCCATATTTATTTGGGAAGTTAAAACCCGGACATAAACTTCGGTAACTTAAAATATTCATATAATTTTTTAAACATTTTAGGACTGTATATATATTTTTGGTCATTGAAAAACTGAGCGTATGTTTTAGGTCATTCAAAAACTGGACATAAATGTTGGCTGCACATAAAGTTTTTGTAATTTAAAAACTGGCAGTAAATATTCTTTCGCTGAAACGGTAGATAAAACAAGTAATAAAGTCTAAGTTCGGGCGGAGCCGAACATTAAATACCCGGCGCAATTATTAAATATATGTTTTTCCACCTTTCCGAAAACTACCGCTACACAATAAGCCGGGGTGTATAAATTTTAAGTAAATTAGCGTGCTTAAATTTCGAAATATTGCAGTTTCAAGCATTTCTGAAATATACCGTTATATGAAAAGCGGTCGTAATTTAGTCCGATTTCAATAATTTTCAACGGTTTGCTTTTATGTGGCAAGCACAATAACCATACCGAGCTTGGTACAAATTGCTAGAACGGTTAGCGAGATACATATATGTGATCATAAGTGGGCGGTGCCACGCCCATTTTCCAAAATTGTATCATAAGCGTATTTCTTGGTAAAAAATTGTTGCNAACAACCGTTATGTGAACAAAGTTATAATACCCTTGTGCACAAGTGCGCTCGGGTATAAAAATCGTTTGCAATTGAAAATATCTGTGTATATTTTTTTTTAAAGCGTTCGAAAACGCATATGTTTACAGAATATTTTAATTATTTTTACTATATTTTTCAACTCTCTGTCTGACCATTTTTATATTTTGTCCTTATTGCAATTTTTTCAGTGTAACTTTTGACAACATTTGTCCGAGTATATTTTACTTTGCCTCTCGCGCTCTCTATGCTTTTTTAACACTCTGTCCTTATAGTTTTTGAGTGCGTCAAAGCAACAGTTAGCCACTGAAAATTTGCTCCGTGAAAGCTTTCAGGCATTAAACAATAACAACACAGCTATCTTGTTCATCGGCCATCGAACAATAACCGTCTTTTGGGCTTTACTTCAGAGCGAATGCCGCAGCAGTAAACGCTCACACGAGACACTCATTCGCAACACTTGCTCTCGCTCTCGTTCTCCTACTCTCTATCTACAATCGTTCTGACGTTAACTGTTCGAGGCCGCTTAGTCCCTGTTGAAGGACTCCACTGCCTGCTTAGCTTAACGGTGCCGATATGAAGTTTCCAAACCAACGACAACAGTTTGTTGCTTAAGTTTCGCCGTTGCGGTCGTGCCGTTCTAAGTGATTGCGGACGGCGGCAGCTCTAAGAACAAAAAAAAAAAACAACAACAACAAAAATCGCCCCAGAAAAAGGAGCATAACAATACACAAACACTTTGACCAAGAAAAAGTGGAGTCCATACGCACACTAACTCTCGCAAATGCATGTGAAGCATTGTGGGAATAGATGCGTGTGTGTGAGTGTGGTAAATGGACCTAGTACAGGTGTGCGTTGTGTTTAGCACAAAAAGGCGCATTTTTTTAATTTTTTCATAAGTGGAGTGAGCGCATAGTACTCGTGGACACTACCACAAACTAGTGGAAAATGCAAAAAATGTCCGCGAGTAAGGCAAATAGTGTAAGAATGTTGAAAAAGGCTAAGCTAGTGCAAGCCTGAAGTGGATTCAAGGAAATATACTTAATAACAAGAAGTGCCATAAGTTTAGTGAGTAGTGAGCAACTCTGCTGGAGGACAAGCAAAAGGTAGAAATACCCAAATTTTTGGTATCCTTTCATAAGTGTTTGTGTGTACCACTCACGTCCATATGTGACCCGCATCAAGGCCTGGAAAGCGAGGAAATTATGAGTGGCTGTCTTAGCCCTGATAAAATGAAAGTAAATACTAGATAATTAGTAAAATTTCTTTTAAATAAAAATGTGTGTGAAAAATTGGGTATTTGAAAATAAAACAAAAAAATAATAAAAGCGAAAAAAATTACAGACTTAAATAACAAAATAAAAGAGAATTTGAAATTTTTGTAGAAGAAAAAAAGTACGGAAGTGCTAAGATATGTACATACATACATATGTGAACAGGTGCAAAAACAAGCATAATATCTGTAGCTAAATGCGAAAATCTCAGGAGTTGTTACATTTTTCGACAAAAACGTATAAAACAAAAAAAAAATAGGATTGGACGTCCGTTCACCCTTTGAAGACTAAAAAACCTGATTTTACTAGGCGTTATTCTACTCATAAGAAAACTGTGTGAATTTTTAGAAATTAGTTTTAATTGTTATGCTTTTCCAAAAATTTTTATGATTTACATCTTAGTTTTTTTGTTTTTTTTTTTTGATTTAAAAATATGTCTCACATCAAAACGCAAATACACAGAAAAACAAAAAAAAATGTGTGTCAAAAATATATATATATATATTACTATAAGGGAGTCTTCACTTAACCCTTTGAAGGCTATATAAGTCTGACTTCCAAAACCCCAAAATCCTAGAAATTTCCACAAATATGTCAAATTATAAAAGAAAAGTATTTAGAGTTTGATGTTTTCCAAATTTACGAGTTTCCAGAAATCAACTAAAAAAAAATCTGGAGAGATAGTAACAAAAAAATAATTATAAAAAATTCGCAGAACGTATTATTTAAAATATATGTAAACTTTTAAAACACTTGTGCACTCCTTTCGACTGGAGAAGCACCAAAAATTTCTCAATTTCGAAACCTTGACTAAACTGTTAAAATCTGTAAGAAAAACATTTTCCCAGCTCCAATTTTTTGAATTCAAAAAAATTTTCCAATGAAATATAATGAATAAAAATTACTAACTCACTGACTGAAACTAAAGTATGTTTGCAAGGCAGTTTCGAAAGTTTTTTTTTACCGAACCTTGGAGTCGCTTTCTTAAATTTTTTGGCAATATTAAATATTTTTTAAACAGCTCTACTAGAATAATCAAAATACGTCCATAACAAAAGTTTACTAATTTTTCTTGAGCTTTGATTTACTGACATTAGGGTGGTACGTTAGGGTGATAAGAACTGAGATCTGCTAGGTAAGTACTAGAATGGGTTACTTGAGGTCGATAAACTTTAGAGCAAAAAAATTATATCCTTTAAGATTTAAGAATGTATAAGGGCGACACCTAAATACGTACGACCAAAAAAATATTTGTTTCCGAAATTGCCTTGCAAAAATACCTTAAACAAGGAAGTGTATGACGAACTTTTTTCTTGTACGTTCTAATGCACATACCTATATGTAAAATATTAATAGTCGCAAAAATGTTCGACCACGCTCCCATACTCCCATGCTCGTTTAAAGGAGCTTACCTTGCTAATGGCATAAGTGGCTTAAAACATCACCAGTGCTTGTACATAACTGCACACATATGCGACATGACTCGAAAAGACATGTGGCAATATGCATTGGTGATTATGCAAATAAATTACCTAATTATATAGTAATTAATTGTGACGGGTCGAACGAAGCAAAGCTAAATACGTGCCGAATTAGTGTACGCTTGTACACAGTACAAGTAAACACTCATCGAACAGAAAATGTACACAACAAAATACATATACATAATAACATTGACGTCCATGGTTGTGCAATTCCCAACGGTATTGTTGTTGACATTTTCAAATGTGTTAGCCAAATTAATATTGAAAAGAACACCATTAACTAGCATTTAGGTTCATACGCACTAGGGCTTTTCCATAAAATATTTACCGGCTGCCGTTGTCGAGTTGCTAGAAGTTCGTATTACCTTCTGTATCACGCTTTTTACATAGCAAAAAAAGCTTATTACTCCTTAGTTGGAAAGTATAAGATCAAAAAATTCTAAAAATATTAGAATAGTTAAACAATTTTATTCTTGTGAAGGATAAATTCTCTATGGGTGCAACTACATGAATATACAGTTTCTGTTTATGGTGGAATTTGATGTTCAGGTCAGCGCTGGCTTCCAGTGGGTCGTTCTGCGCTCATATAAGGCATGAAGGCACCAACATCTGGAAAACTGATTCTGTGAACCATCATCTCAGATGCGGAAGAGTTTACAGAAGGACGAAATTATCCGTGTTCTATTATTAACTCTACATGAACCTCAGACTAACGCTATCTTAAGATGTTTGCTATAATATCAAGCAGCTTCCAGTTACTAGAGGCGCGGATGAAAATTATCGGTTGCTTACTTTTTTCTTGATCACTTATGCATACTTTCTCATCAGACTGCTGAGCTGCTTTGACATCAACTATATGGAAGGTACATGGAAAAAATAGAGGATTCTTGTAGAGGATGTCCAATTGTAAAACTGTGGCAATCAGATGAAATTCAGGTTGACTCACCGAATGCTGGGGGAAAAGCTTCAAACTGCTGCAAAACTACGCGCGAGCTTCTTAGATTGTGACATCAGCTGTTTGCGGACATACATATATACATACATATCTGTATACGAAATCAAATATCTTCGTATAAGCTTTGATAAGACGCTGAGTTGGAACTACCAATTAGCTCTTAGTATGGCCTCGCGAACCATGCCGGCCTGTAGAAGACATTTTTAGCTGACATGGGTTTTCAGCTCAAAGTTTATAGAGCGGATACGCCACATGGTTGTTCGTGCCGCTGTGTCATTTTGAGCCCAAAAACATAACAAGAAACGGCCAATCAATGTTTAAGAAACTTCAAAGGTTAACACCGCTCTCGGCTCTAGTATCAATAAGAATTTGTTGAACCACGGGTCTGGAGTCGCTCCCGATATGGACTTAGCTACATATTTTTATTCACCTGCGAATAATAAATAAATTTCCGTCGGTAATTTTCATAACTGACATAAAAAACAAGCATTGGACCTGGATCCCAGTTGTAGACAGTGGTACACAAATATTCCGAGAATGGAAAATAGAAGAGGTTCTATCGACTAGACTCGAAGTTATGGTCCTCAGTGTTTCTGGTGGAGGTCTTAGCAATGCTGACCTTGCTTGAGGCTTTTAATTATTCAGTCGGTAAACTTTGGCAGTAAGTATTGGGAATTAAGGATACACTGACTTTTGAGGATAACAAGACCTCGGAATACATACTATGCGACTGGCCAGTGTAGACCAGACCAATAGTAATGCATTTTACTTAATTCATTATAGTAAATACTTTGATTATAAGAAAACAGTGTACTAAGCACCGCTAGCCTTTAGTAGGATAGCTGAATGAATTTTGTGCTCCCAAGGGTTGCAACTTCCTTATTGGGATACAACAGATTTTCCTTATTCCTCAAATGCTTTTTTGATCTAAATTGTGATTAAATCGGGGATAGAAAATAACAGTTATTCTGATTTTTTTCGCTTTTTCGGGTATACATTGGACTGAGTCGGTCCCCATATGATAGAAAATAATCTAGTAGGGTTCGGGATCGGTAAGCATCGCTTACTAAAGTTGTATTTGATGGGGTGGAATTTGAACTTAGTTGCTTAAGGAGGCAATCTAGGCTGAAAGGACCTGAGTTATGTTTAGGAATCGCCAAAGACGAAAATTTCTGTGATCATAAAACCCTCTTAAAGGAAGCTACCAAATTATGGGGGGTAATTGCAAACTTATTTTCGCGATACAGTCTGTTGTACATCTTTAATCCATTAAAAAGCTATTCATGAAATACCATTTGCCATTCGGAGGCGGCGTGAAACTGTCGGTTCTGCCACTACTAAATGCAGAAGAAAACTCATCCAGGACCTAACCAAATATTTGCGATTTCATGTTAAGGTACATTAGTACTTATGTATTTCTTATTTCATATTACTCATACGATCTGGTGTCCGTTATTACAGTCTGTTAAATGTCAGAAAAATTTTTAATAGATACTGAAATAAATAAATGAATCTATACTTGAAATTCAATGATTATGTTTGATAAGGTTAATCTGACTGGCGTGAAGCCACACACATACACATAGCATGTAAGTGCGCTGGTCTACATTTAAGATGTCGCTTTATTTCTTCACAAAATTTCAAGCATATCTTCAAGTATTTTTCAGCATTGAATTCTTTTAGGAAAAACAAAATCGGTCTCCCACCCTAACAGTGCATACATATATTTAGAATCATTTTCTGTGATAAGTGTTTATGTATCGAAATATTTACCTAATGGGTGATTTGGGATGTTCATACATGCTTGTTTGTCCAATAAATATTTACCAAATTTGGAGAAAACTATAAATTAAATAAAAAGTAAGAGTAAAGAGAAAGCGACAGCGCCTACGTTGATATAGGAATAAGTTTAAACTTGACTTTTTCGACCTATGGACTGTTTTTTTTTTTTTGAAAATGAGTTACTGTAAAAATTTAATAATGAGGATAAAGCAAACGCTTTCGCCTAGCATATCTTACAAGTCTTTAGACCTGATGAAGGCGCTCATCCTTAAAATATTTCCATACCCCCCAGTAGCCTTACCATAAGCGCCTCGTTACGATAGGATTACAGGTGAAATGATAAAGGAGCTTCCGTAAATTGTATTGCTTGAGGTCTATTTTAAAATATATAGAAGGAAAAAAATTTGAGAGTCGCCACCTATTTGAAAATTGCATTTTAGGAAAACTGATAAAATAAACTAAGTATTGCAATAAGGCTGCCAATGGAAAGAAGTCTTAATTGAAAATTTTAATTTAATTAAATTAATAAGCTAAACTAAATATTGCGATATGGATATAAAAGAGGTTAGGAATGCTCACTGTCAAAAATATTTTAGAGGGGCCACCCCCCT